CAGCAGGCACCCTCCCTGAAAATACTGCGGTCGGAGATACTCACGCTGCTACCTGTGCCAGCAGCTGGTATCAAAGGCAGGCAAGGGACAGCTTGGGTCTGATCGCTCCAGGCAGGCATTTATCTCAACAGCTTTAGATTACTACCTAGGTGTATCTTAACCGACATCTGAACAACTAGTTGAGGATGCTGCAAAAATAAAACAACAATGCGTTGAAGCTGGAAGTCAAAATTCTCACCAATTTTGAGCCTTTAAAATTTCAGCGGCAAAGCGGAACCAAAAAAAAAAAAGAAAAACCAAATCAAGTCTTACACTTGTTTTCCCCCCAAATGCCAGTGGAATTCATATTTCAAGTCACAAGAAATGTAGTTACAGTCGATACAAGTTACTTAAGAATGACACTGAGTAAGTATTTGGTTATTTGGAAATGACAAAGGAGGTTTCATTTTTAATGTTCGTAAGTCATCCAAATTAATTAGCGCTTTAAAATGGCAATGAATCATTTCCCGAAATAATCTGTATTGGCTAAATTAATTCCAGTGAAGGGAGCCAATTTGCTGATGGTAAATTATCAGTCCCTGACCAGCTCCTGTGTATGTTGTGTACTGTTTATTAGGCTACTGGGAAACAAAAGATGGCTACTTTTCATCAGTGAACATGATTGCAGCCCTATTAAGTGACCAGCTTATTGCGGTACAATTACAGGTTTCTATTTAAAGAATTCAAGCCAGACATCATTAAGAAACAAAGCTCGACGTTCAGAGGAAAGGAAAAATAAATGGAAGAAAGGCTTGGTTTTCTGAAGAGCTGCACCAAAAACCTATTTGAAGGGAGTATTTCCATCCTCTTAAGGTTAAGAAAGAGAAGTTCAGAGATTCAAGACTAATTACGAAGATACTTCCATCATACGACAGTGCCTACAGGCAACCTGAAGCCTGGAGTCCCAGAGCCCGCTTCTTTCACTCACGGCTAGATGATTGTTTTGAGACTCCTCTAAATTAAAATGACTTTTGAAGAGCGACAACGAGGTGAAAAAACACACAGACGGGTTTCTGCTCTCCCCCGTCAGGCAGAGGAGATGCTTTCATAGCACCGCCATTCCACCGCTCTCACAGCCTTCCTCTCAAGTGCCCGGAGACCTCTGCGTCCATCCAGCACGTACCACCACGCATGCGCTCGCCGAGTGACATGACTTGGTTCAAGTCTACAGCGCTGTTCTCAATGGATTTCCCTTCTTTACCCCTCTAAAAGAAAAATATATGTACATAAAGGTTTACCTAAGCTAATTTGCACGGCATTCTGCTGCTCTTATCTGCAGGTATCAAAGCCTCGACATTTCTGCTTGAGAAATCTTTCCCTGGCTAACCTGCTTATCGGCAGTAATGAATACTCATGCAAACAGGTACAAAATTAAATGGCTTCTTTACAGTGATTATGATAGATTGAGCCATGCTTAATCTACATAATCAAATTGCTTCTGCGTTCAGCAGTAATACCTTTTTGCTGTCCTGGGAGCAGGCTCAGCCTTGGTTTCTCTTTTGACAGCTTCTTTCTGAGAAACACCAACCATGACTGGGAAAGGGGCTACCTGAGACGCAATTATTTAACACAGCTGTATGAAGCACATCTCAAACTCTGCTATATGGCAAAGCAGGTCCAAACAAAAGGTGTTCCCTTTAGGACAAGGGAAAATGCCACGTAGGGTCCGTAAGGGAAAACAAAGTACAAACCAATCTCCTCCAGCTACTGTCTACGTACCTAGACATAACTGGAGCGACCTTCTCAAGATAGATGAGACATCTCTCCGCACCTAGCTGCAGTGAGCTACTACCACTACGATAATTTCCTTTCCCTATGCAAGAGCATCCCTATATGTAAAAGCATTGTCTGCTTCCATGCTAATGAAATAGAAGAATGTATTTTCCAATCTCAAGACCAGATCCACGTTTCAAATCAAGCTGGCTAAACCTTACCGAGGTACCAGAAACAAAGCATGGCACAGGTATATTATAAAGTGAGTAAGCCTGATGCAAAATGCTAATAAACACTTACAGAGAACAATTTCTCTCCCTCGTTATGGCTTTTTGACACAGGTGGAAAGAAGGTGCTGGCTGGACCTCTGTGGTTGGAAAGGTGACAGCTCTAGCAAAAAGGTCCCCGCATCTTCGTAAGCAAAGGAAAACCAACACAGACGGGGAGGGGGGGAAGACGGGTTCTGGCAAGGGCTGCTAGCACAGCTTGACTTTAGCTCAGGAGGAAGTAAAAGCTTGAATTACACAAAAATAGATTTAAGAAAGAATCAATTACATTTCTTCTGAAAGTTTTAGTTAAGTTTTAATTAGGATCTGAGATTTTGCACTTAAGTGCATGAAGTGAAGGAGTACATGTACTCATGCTTCCCAAGATAACTGACAGATCTGAAACTCATCTCATCTCAAAAGGTTAATTAAAGAACAATCCTTGAGAGCAACACCGTTGGGAAACCAAGGAGAGTCTGCTCCACCGGGGAGCCCTGGGGAAAGGCTGGCACACAGCGCCCGCATCTCCCCTCCTCAGAAACACTCCGGGTAGCAAATGGAACTGCTGCCCAGTGACCATGGCACAGAGACAAGCGAGATGGCTTAGAACCAGCCCAGCAACGCAGGCAGAACAGCACGCCCACAGCAGGATAAAGCTTACCTGCCGTGCTCCCTGCCCGCGCCGAGCTCTGCGGCGCTGCTGGAGCTGCTTCGACGCACGCGCCCTTCAGCGGAGCGGGCGCGATCACTGCCAGCGGTGAAAGGTAGGTGTGGTAGTTCTTATAATTAGGAAACTAAGGCAGAGTGACTCACCCAGGATCAAAGGCTGTAATTAAGCCAGAAATAGGCTGTGGGTTCCCCGATTCCCACAGATGCTGACAGCACTGTGAGGCAAAGGCCTTCTCTAGTTCATCCAAGCATCATTAAAAAACATGTCAGCTTTCAGAGGAGCCCATATATACGAAGCTCATTTGAAAAATTCTATGCCAAATTTAAGAAATGTTATCGAAATGGGGAACAAAAGAGTTTCATCATTTGAGCAAGACTTTGTGGACGTCAGTGACCTTTGGCTGTGCAGTAATTTAATTTCCTAAGAACATGAGCAAAGTCTCAATTAGGTCAGAGAGGACCGCTGCTCCGGCACAAGGGGGAAGAGGAATGTGCGGCTGCATCAGTGAAGAGTACTCCTTCTCTCGGGGGGGCTGGAGATATGGTGCAAGGAAGCATTAAGGCCTCTTGGCAAAAGCAAGTGAGGCTGCTTGCTCACTATGTGAAGCAGGATGGCACGCACCACAGGCAGAGGTGAAACACAGAAGTAAACCACTCAGTGCTCTCGGCTCACAAGCGTCTTTTGCTGCTTTCGTTACAGACGAGAGGCAGGTACTGTGGCTGCCGCAGGAGAAACAGGCTAATTTAGAAGCAGTCCAGGGAAAAGCAGAGGAATGATGGAAAAAATATCAGAATAGCAATGGATTCTGAATGCTGCTTAATGGAGTGAAGCCTGAATGTTATTTGGTACAATCTTGATGGGCCTGATTTAACTATTACATTTTTACACAATATTTTTCATACTGGTTATGAAGAACTGCTTGACAGCCCTTGGTGACTGCTCAGAAGTTTCTCAGCCACTTAAGCAGAAGGTCTATCAGAGTAAAGCACATTAATCAGAGAAAAAGCTGATAAGGAGCAAACGGCAACAGAAATAACACCGGGGTGAGACATCGCTCTAAGTCTGTTGCCTGCAGAAAAGCTGTGCAGGAGGTCAGCAGGCAGAACAACCCAACACAGAAACACTGCAGTGAAGAAAGTTCAGGAAAGGGCGTTTCTGGACACACAGGTTCCCGCAGCACATTTTTACCCAGCAGAAAGATGGATTACGCAAGTTCTAAACAGCCACTCTTCATCTGAGACGTGACATTGGTATCTACCACGTCGTCCTAAATCCCCAGCCCGAAAGAAGCTGGTGACCCTACATCACTTAGTCTCATGTCCACCGTTCAAACACAAGAGCCCACTTTTTGCTTTTAAATCGAAAGTGCAATTTCAGATGCTCGGGTTTATTTTTATTTTGATTCAGAAGCGTCTATCTGAAGTAAGCTGATGCCAGTGACAACTGAATCACAGTTGTGGGTGCAGTTTCTTCATACGGAAACAGACTGATAGACACTACCCTTCCAAAACACTATCTTTGTGAATACAACATCTCAGGACATCAATTAGGCAACGTTCCACTTTAGCTACTTGGAAAGAAGACTGTATTTAAGGATGAGCTCCTCTCCTCTCCCTCCCAACGAGCCCATTAAGCATCTGATCTGCAAACCCTTGTACATACAAGAGAGTTACTTGCTCATGTTTTTTTTTTTTTTAATGTAGGTTTTCAAGAGCACTCTGAATTTAAAAGCAGCATTTTATTCTACAGAGCAGCTTCCTGCCGAAAAGGCCACTCTCACAAAAGCTGCGTCAGGTCTGCCTGCATTAGTACACATGCTATGTATATGAATTAAGTGTCAGTGGAACAGTCGTTGAGGTGACTGCAGCCTGGGCTCACCTCCTTTATATATCTACTCATCTGAACACGGGGGCTGTATTTCAATGAGCAAGCCCATACAGACCCAGTAACATCGAGATAAGGCTCCACAGCAAGTATCTGCAGGTGACTTCATTAAAGCAATGAAAGAAATCTGCTAATGCACCTACAAAAAACATTAAGTGACAAAAATACAATGCTGCTTTTGGGATTTCAGGTACCAAGCAGAGAAATTCAACTCTTCCACCTGGGTGCTTAAGAGCATAGCAGTCCCTTCTCCTCCAGCATCCCCCAGCATTTGTGTTACCCTGCAGATCTTCACGTTCTCACACTGATCTGCAATACCCATAAACGGGAAAATACCAAGTGCAATCAAACCCTCAGCAATGCTAGTTCATGAGAAAGCAAGAGGCATTCCTTTCGCACGCAGCTGGATGCCTGAGCAGAAAGCTTACCCCATCTGGTAGTGCCCTCCAGCATACAGCACTCACAAACTCATTTGTGTCATCTTCTTTCCGGTCCTTGTCCAGGACACTTTTGACTGTATCAAATTTGAATGTCAGCAGTGTCTTTGAGAGGCCCTTATAGTATAGGTAAAGGGAATTATTTTCGCTTCCTAGAAATAAAAAATAAAAATTAAAAAAATACAAGATTAGGTTCTGGTAGCAAGCACAGAAATAAGGCTTCTTAGTTCTTTCATTGTTTAAGACAAGACCAGACATTTCCTCCACGTAATCATCATCACGCTTGCGGTGCCTTGGCAACTGGCAGTGCTCCACAGCAAACTTTCATGATGCTTAATAACAGGACCAGGATTTATTAGAAGACAACTGCAGTACGCAGCCCACTTGCAAAACTTACAGGATCCCAACCGTCCCCCATAACTTCCTTAGGGCAGAGCATCTACGCTACCACACGAAACACCGCTACAGCCAGCCTGCTCGGCGTTTCAGCTCTGAGGCAGGTAGCACCGTCTCACTTTTGCCTGCTGTAATCAAGTATGACAGTTTGGTCTGTAGAGGTTTAAGTACGAGAGACTAGACAGTGTGCAGGCTTTATTTAGAAATCCATCCCAATTTCTGCCTTGCAAGCTGTACAGAGATCAGAGTATACACAAGCAAAGGTCCTCCCTTCAGTGCTGGCACAGCTGTCCTGCTCATCCCACAGCAATCAGCCTGTCACTGCCTTCCCACCAAGATCCATGGATTTACAGAGGTTCAACAGTCCAACTTAAGAGGTGAAAGGACAGAAACCACCAACGGGCTAACTGCTTCAGGATGACATAGCATCACAGGGAGTTGTTCACAACGAGAGCGTTAGCGCTTCGCCATGCAGAATGCTGTACTAAGTGACAAGTACAGGACCACTCGTGTGGTCCAGGCTACTTGCCCTTCCTTAGAAGGATGAGGATATGCCGGTTGATAAACTTGAAGGACATGTCACATCAACAGTGGTTACATTAGCAGCTGACTTTTGGTGACAACAAGTCTTAATCATAATACATGAAGAACTCAACTGAAATGGGGCAAAACCAAGTACAGACCCCCTCAGGTCAGGGCTCCTTACGCCTTTCCCTGGGAAGGGAAGGAAGGTGGACGTTCACAACAATCCTCTCTCAAAAAACCCGTGCAGCTGCATGGTACAGTTGCCGGTGTGCTTTGCAGCAGGAGAGGCACCAGCTCCAAGGAGTCCCATTAGCGTTTGGCAGGATGGCTGCTCTACTCACCACAGGCGATGTAGTCTCCATTGGATGCCAGCCCTACGAAATTCTTCTCGTTGATGTGACCCTTGAAGGACCGCAAGCAGTGAGGCTTCCCTACGTTCCACAGCTTCAGCTGACTGTCTGTTGACCTGAAAACAATACCTAAAGTTACCCTGCTGCCATATGGCAGGCACTCCTCGCTTGCAATGCTGCTCCTTAACACCCTACTTGCAATGTAAATGTTGAAATCTTAATGCACTCCAGGAGATTTATCCCACTTTCAATCACTTGCAACTCAGCTGGAGCTCAGAAAGGTATCACGTTATTTTAGAAGCCTGTCAAAACGCATTATATGTTTGAATAAAAAGCTTCCCCCAACTATTACTCTTCCTTTCTCCTATGAATTGCAGAGTCCTCCACTGAACTCTACTGCCTCTGGGCCACCACTGCCTCCTCCAGATCTTTACAGATCCAGGACACACTGAATTGTGGGGGTTTTTTGTTTTGGTTTTTTTTTTTGTTGTTGTAGTTTTTTTTTTTAAAAAAACCTCTACAGTATGGGCAAAATCTGTTCCCTTCTCTCTGCTGGCTAAAACTCTCATTCATGCCATTACAAGACTCAAGTAGGAAGCAGCCTCCTCCTCCTCACCCGCCTCCAGCTGCCCTGAATGCATGTTCTCCTCCTGCCCAATACCACGCAGCAGCATATAAAACCTATGGGGCTCAGAGTTGCTATTACCATTAAACTGATGTGGTTTGCTCATGTATAATTGAGACTGCATAGATACAGATCTCAAACTTCCACTTTTTTCACCTTGGCAGCAAAGCTAAATATTACTATTAAAAAAATACACAAACTCTGTCGGGATTAAACCAAAATTGATGTTCTCCATTGTTCCCCCACATGCGAACATACCTGCCTTCAAACCGTTTTTCTATTTACTGTGAGCAAACATTTTTCCCTTTGGCGAAGGAAAGGAGGTGGAGATAGTCTCCTCTGCCTGGCAGAGCTCAACTGAAATAGCAATATCCCAGGTTTCTGGGACATATAGGATTAACTTCTTTACCCTGAAGGGGTAAAGACCTGAAGGGGCATGAGCCCCTCTCACTTCCCAGGCATTATTCTCTAGCAATCGCCGGGCTCTGATATTCTGGCACTCACTGACGTACGTCAATACGCTTCACAGTAGGGGAACAGCAAATGGTGATGTGCTGGGAATGGAGCCCTGTGAAACCACCCTTGAGGAAATGGGTAGTGCTGTTGTGATCTTAAATTTGAAAGAGATTGGGAGCAGGACCTGGCAGCCTCCTGGGTGGGAGAAAAGGGAGGTAGATAATGCTCCCCTCTTACAAGCCACATCACCCAACCTTGCTGCTTTCTGAATATCAAGACCTGAAGGGAAAAAAACCCCCACCCAATATACATCAAATATTATTACCAACGATGTAACAAATTAGCCCTGCACCAATGTCACATTTACCAAAAAATATAGCACAAAAAGAGTAGAGATACACCTCGTGCTGTACTGCAAAAACCTTATCTCAGCCCTCAATGACAGCTGGAATGACAAAGGAGTGATAAGAGAGCTGCAGCAAGATTTGTTAGTCATTTGTAATAATAGCATGAGGTCAGATCAGAACGAAGGTATGAACTTCATCTGTAACACCATGACTTAAGGAGGAGGAGTGCATTCCTGGTCCCAGGTCTTGACCAGGGCATCCCTAAAACAGAGTATTCACCTTCTCTGCCCGATGCTTGTTCCTCATCCACCACTGCCCCACGCTGCCGCTCACTCTCCCTTCCCATCTCTTGTCCTTACCATCACAGTAGCAGCATAGCTCACAGAAAGGGCAAAAAGGGGCATACTACTGCTTTTTGGCCCACAAGTACAGGGAGGTGTCTTCTGTGCTATTAGGGCAGCTGTATTTTTAAAACGCTGCTTTTAAAAGCTTCAGAGTTGCCTGGAAAGTAAACTTCTAAGGACAGGGTAAAGCAGCAAAAGACTAATGCCTGGTCTACAAGTCAGATTCCTGTGACAGCTTCTGCTATTAGCTAACCCATCAAGAAGACCTCATATATATATATATATGCACTTAACCTCTATAGTTTAGTAGCGTACATTCTAGATCTCTTCGTTAAAATAAACACAGTAAAAGTCTATTGCTAATGGAATGCTTTACTGTTAACAAATTCCCATCAAGCGCTAGCTGCGTTTGCATTGCTTAGGATAAGCATGCCGTAAAAGAAGAAAGTTATCCGTCCCCGGACTGCAAGGAGAAGAAAAGGCCACTGGTCCTGCTGGTGTCACACTGCTCTTCTGGTTTCATACCCTCTCCAAAAAAATATCATAGATGAGCTGCTCTGTTAAATCTCTCTCTCTGTAAATCAGCACTGCAATCAATGTGTTGTGCTAAATACCAGGCAGTTCTGAACACCCTTGAGGTCAAAACCTAACTCTACAAGCAAAGTAAATCAATGCAATCTATAAAACAGCTTTAGCTAGAAATCTAGAGAATCTGAATATACATATAATTTTTTCTTTGAAGAAATCAGTGCTTGATTTCTGGGAATCACTATTGCTGTCTCCTCTCCTCAATTTGCAAAAAGACAGACATGAAAAATAATCTGTTCTCTGACATTTCTTTCTGTTCATGCAGAAAAAGATAGGTGAACCCTCCACTTAGTCCCTTCACCCTGTTGTTGCCTGTCCAAGTCTGACAGCAATATCGATATTCCTCCCAGGACTGTGGGATAAGCTTTCTCAGATCATCAGCTCAAGCAGGACAGGGCCATTCTGTCCTGAAATATGCCATAGATGATGCTGCACTTGATCATGGCTGTAAAACATTCCCAGTCTACTCCTGCTTCTATTAAACACTTTCTTCTTACCCAGACTTGGTTCAAAGCATTAAATTTAATTTTCTCTGTGTTCTAGGTATGAATTTGCACCTCATAATGTTAATGGAAATAAGAAGAGAGGAGCTGATTAAATATGAACAGTACCAGAAACCACCAGGGAATCTTCCACCACACAGCTCAGCTCAGAGTAACTCACTAGCAGCCTGAATACACCTTAAATGCTCTGCTTTGGCTCCAGGCTTCTAGAGAAAACCGCGTTAAAACACAGGACTGAGCCAAGCTCGTTTATCACTGGCTTGGTACAAGGCAGCAGGCATACTTCCTGGGACTAGATCTACCCCTGGGAGCCACCCCTGCTGCCCTCGGGTGTTATACATGAGGTTGTCGAGATCAAACATTTCCCTGCAGTCCCCCAAGATTACTTGCATTTTCCCCAGCATGTAAGAGGGGCTCACCTCTGGTTTATTAAAGATACTTGTAGCCATTCACTCAAACCTTTCACTATGTGATCTGACAGACACGCTCATTCCCACGTGGTTGAAAACCTACCTACAACTGAGGCAGCCACATCTGGCTTTGGGGCAGCCACATCTGGCCATGCAACTGAACAGAAGCTGTAGAATATTATTCTTCAGGGCCTCCATAGCAGACCTTATGGTCTAGCCCGGCTGAAAAGCTGCACACCATTAGGACCACAAAACTCAACTTCTCCTTGTCTACTTTCTAACCCAAGTATAATCCTAAAAACGGCCTTCACAGAGCAGGTTAGTAAATTACTGGAGAACAGATGAGTCAGTCCTACTCGCGTTTCTTTCAGGCTGATGGCTAAACCTCCTCTTCAGACATAGCAGTACCATTTGATCACTTCTGTCACTCATCCCCTGTGTTTTACTGGAGATTACTACCCTCAGGGCTCTGCCAGCAGTCTTCTCTACAGCAGAGCTCTGGTCAGGAGCATCCTCAGCACACACAGCACTTCATAGAAGGAGAGTCCACCTGCAGCTTCCCAAAGTCAGGGCTTGTGGTCAGGAGCTGCATCTAGTTGTCTTGATATCCCCCTTAAGCATTTTAGCTCCACAAGACAGAGCAGAGCCACGTGACACAAGGAATGAATTTCTATTTTTGTCTTAGAAGAAAAAGCAAGGATCTGCTTCCCAAAAGCACAGCAGCTAGCGCACGCACCCACCCACGCAGGTGAACTTGCACGATGGCCCTGAAGAGCGCGAGAAAGAAAGGGCTACGAAGTTTTTAGATACATAAAAGGCAATACTTACGCAGAGACAATTTCTTCCCCGCTCACAAATTTTGCGTAGGAGACTGCCTTGCGATGCCCTTTGAACACCATGATCGGCTGCTTAGTGTTGCGAAGATCGTAGTAGTGAACACAGTGATCTGGAGATATGAAAGAAAAGGGGCAAAATTTAATCAGTTGGAAAGGATGCACGGGACCTCTAACAGTCATCTCACAATTGAAGTCCTGCCTGAAGCTTCTACAACTCACTTAAAGCCTCCTTTAAGGATAAACAGTCTGCACTATAGCGAAGGAGTGTTTAAGCAGACTTCTTAAAACAGCCCCAAAATTCAGTCTGTAAAGGTCCAAGCAGCCTTTCAAAGAGTCAGCGAGGGGAAAAAAGGTGAATCCACATGTGTGCACACATACACGTGTCTTCCCGCAAACCTCAACTGGCCCATGTGCAAGCCAACAGCTAAAAGGACTCTCGCTTCTCCTGCCTACCTTCTTGGCTCCCTGCCTGGCCACTTAATTGCCATTTTTAATTCCCTGCACCCCCTTCTCCTTCCTCAAGCTGTCCCCTGTTGGAGAACTTGAGGCTAAAAACTCAGTCTGTCTGCTACTTAAATTGGATCGTGGAAAATAGGGATTAAATTTCTCATGCTTGCTCTAAATGGGTAACCTCCATACTTTTGTTCTTTGCTTCTCTCCCTTGACTTTATTACCAATCAAAAGAGAATTAGCATTTCTGCTCATAAGAGAACAGACTAAATTCCAGTTCTTAAGATTTAATTCACAGATGTGCTGCAGTGCCACAACCACATAAAAGGGACTGCAACAGAATTAGTGATAGATTTATTTTCTGCGCAACTAAATGTCAATTCCCAAGAAAATAAAAAAATAAGAATAGAAATCCCCCCGAGACCCAAGCCCCAAACACCCCCAGAGCTCTTTCCCACTCAACAAGGTTAATAAGCTTCTCCCTTCCTGACTTTCAGCCTTTAATGTTGAACTTCATTTAATTATCCCCTGCTATTCTGGAAGCGCAGGGAGGAAAGGCCACACACACGCAAGGAAACCGAGCCGGACGCCTTTCTCACCAAGCAACTTGCGATACTCCAATGTCAGCTGAAAACTGCTCTGACCCTCCTCCCACTGAAATAACACCCCACCAATGGAAGTTTATCACAAAGATTACACAGAAATGAATTTAAATGCCAATAGCTACGGTTATTTTTATATTTGCACAGCATTTCAAAGCAGAGCTCTCAGTCGTACAAATAACACCCAGCTGCCTCAAAATCCCATGTGGTTTGAGAGATAACTGGATTTACATCGATCAGGCTACAGCAACCACCATCAGACCGGCCAGGGCAGCTTCTCACCGTAGTAACGGGCTAATTGGTGGTCGTGGCAGGACTAGGGGCTGTGTCAGAAACACCTGCAGTGAAAGAAGGCAAGCAGGCAAGTCTCCTTCCTCTCTGGCTGCTTCCACCATCTTGCTCTCTGCATAAGATGGGACCAGAGTCTTCTCCAGTAAGAGGTTTCCGTCTCTCTCTCTCCTTGCTGTGTAAAAATAGATGCTTCAAGCAGCCACGCCAGGCTTTCTCCCGTCACTTACACCAGGCAGCGAACTGCTGAATTACCCTGTTGTGTTGAAACCCAACAGCTATTACAGCCTTTACTGCTACCACTGAAATGCTGTACCCACAAGCACTCTTCCAAGCGCTCCTCTTTCTTCTACCTCCGAAATATAACCCTCCAAACAACTGACACCATCAACCAAAATCCCAGCACATCCCTACCATTCGGGTATTTTAATTAGCTTCAGACAAGATGATGTTGCAAAAGGTTTATTCAATAAAGAGGTTAATTTTCAAAGAGACTTTGAATTAAGCCTTAACACTCCTTTAACAAGATTTGGGCATCCTGGTCCTTTCCACCTTAAAGCTTGAGCCAAAAGACTCCGCATTTTCTCATTTCTCAGCCAATGTACCCGCTGTGGGAGCTACGAAACAGTTAACTGGCAATTGTTATTTTAATGAGCAGAATGATTCTAGCAGGGCTTTCTATTAGGAGCCAGTTAGTGGATAAGCCTTTCAAGCCTGTTTTTGCCCGCTCACAGTTTCAACCCCCTCTCCAGCTGGTCCGTCATTAGGATACCTTTTGAGCACCAGATTTTATCCTTCAGAGGGTGGCAGGGAAAAGGGGTACCTGCGGACGGCTGCGTGCGAGCAGCTGGAAAGAGCTAGAGCAGGAAAGACAAGTCCATTTGCAGAGCAGAGGCACGAAGTTGCATTCGCCTTCTACATGTCGCAATAAACAGCTCGAAGCCTGCCGGCATCTGGCCCCAGCACCGCGTGTGCCTCCCGGCGTCGGCAGCGCGATCGATCACTGTCTGCTCTGATCACGACGAGTCCGAGGGAATGGGCAAGGCCAGTGGGTTCTAAAATTAGCCACTTAATTATTAATTGATTATTTCAGCAGCCAAAGTGTTGATGCCCAATTGATTTTTTTTTTTTAATTCAATTGAAGCAGCTATTTTTAAGTAGATACATGAAGACAAATGCTCACTGCATTCATTAAAATCAGAACAGGTGGTCATGTTTTACAATTAAAGAGATACTCTCTCTTGTAGGCCATATGGACTTTCTGAAAACATGATAAAAATGCCATCTGCCGTGGAAGCAGAGCGCCCAAAAATGAAGCTAAATGAGAAAAATACAACTCCCAGGCACCCTGGCAGCAGCCTCGCTGAAGTATGAGCCGAGTATTTGTATGAGCTGAAGTTGTCCACGATCAGCAACATCCCAGGCGAGGTGCTCTGGAAAGCTCAGCAAATTAATTCATCTTTAAGGCAAGCTGAAGGTAAGGAGAACAGCGTGGGCATTGAGGGGAATCAAACACTTCCCAACTCTGCAAGAGCCCATAAGCTCATCCAGCATCCCACCGCTGGCTCCTGCCCTCGGCATCCCTAGCTGAACACGGAGTATACTCCATCGCTACCCAGCAACGCACAGGGGTATTTGCTTCTTGTTTTGCTCCTCAAACACAAGCATTAAAATCATCATTTGACAATTTTTTTTTTTGCAGCTCTACAGTTTCCACCCCGACCAGAAAACTCACTTAGAACAATTTCAGCTTGGAAACAACATTTCCCCAGTTAAAAGCCTGGGCAGCAACAGCTCACTGCTTTAGTTTTTCTTCTGCATCCAGGCTTAATGGAAATTATATATATAGAGAGAGATAATGGGGAAGAACATGTATATATGATAACAAATTAAACACTCTGAAGCAGTTCTTGTGTAGTTCAATGTCACTGCAGAAGCTGAGCACCACAGAATTCTGCTGCTGCACCTTCTGACTTCAAATGTTTGCTGGCAGGCCATATTTTATTATATATATTAGGGGTTTTTAAGTGATCTCAGAGGGCAAAAAGGGCAGCTAAGCTCTCTCACTGTGGCTGAGAGGTCTCTGAACAGAAGCCTGAGTTTTTAAGCAGTGCTTTTCCAGAACACTCAAAAACTGCTTACTTAGGTTAAGACGCTGCCGCTTTCACCTTTGAGCCATCTAGTGACAACTAATCAAGAATTTAGACTTTTCCAAACTTCCAAAAGATCTCACCACCTCTTCAGTAACTAGAAGCTGCGTGTCAGCAAAGGACGGCATCCCTCCCTGCTCGGCAGCTCATAAATTCACAAGGCTCCAGCTGGCAGGAGAGCAGGGTGAAAGGGAAGGATGGTTTTGCGACATACAAGGCAAAGTGATCAGCACCTTCTCAGCCTCATCCTTGGACTCAGCTTGGTTGCAGGCATAGGGACACAGCAAACAAACTGATGATGCGGTTACGTGATCTTAGGAAATGAGGTTAAAAACTTAAAAACAAAACAAAACAAAACAAAAAAACAAAAAAAGAGAGCTGGGAACTGCTAATGGAGTCAGCAGCGTCTTAGGCAGTTTCAGAGCTGTTCAGAAAGATGGAATTGCTCTCGGATTTTTAGTTGTTTAAACAAAAAAACAACCAAAACAAGGCAAAATCTGTTTTTGCCAAAAGTGATTTTCCTTACACTTAGATTTGTTAATAAAATTCACAAAACAGCTGTTACTAGCAGCCTTTAAGCTCACATCACCTACTACAAAGCTCTTAAAGTGTACCGACAAGCAGCAGCTCCAAAAAGAGCAAGGCAAGGGTTAGCGAAGAGTACCACACAGCAGCAGTTTGTTTCACTGAGTACCGGTGCATCAGGATAGCAACACACACAACTCAAAGAGCAGAGTGATTTAACTCCCCAGGTACCCAGCAATTCCAAGTAACATTCATCTTCCAGGGCATGTGCTTCACACTCATCTTCGCCACGAATATTAACCAGTCTACAGCATGAGATAAGTCACAGACCCCCCAAGGCTTTTTTTTTTTTTTTTTTGACCAAGAACTACTACTTAAAGGATATCAAGGCAAGGACAGCAAAACAAAAATTTACCTGCAATGCAACAGTTTAATATTCAACGGATGTAACGACTAGAAAACCCCAGGAGCTGCATACAAAGGTGTTGTGGCTCTCCTCTGGAAAACTGAATTGCTGGAGAATCAATGATCATTTTTCTTATTTCAATCATTTCGAAACGTGTATTTCTCAACTGTTCAATATTTAGATTATTGATCCATTCAAAAAAATAAATAATTTACATTACTCTGATTTTTCAGTGCTTATAGACTTGAGAATGTAAGTGGTGCTCACTGCCACACGTTAGGTGAATGTTACAGCCAAGAAGATGCCTGTATGGAAAACCAAAGTTGTGGGGTGGGGAGCCAGATGTTAATTAAGTGATCTGTTACAAGACTTCTGTTAGCAAAGCACATTTGGGACTTTTTAAAATGACAGCTCTTCAATACCAAACTCAGAGGTCAAATTAATTTCATATATTAATGCTCTGGCTGTAGCCTGCAGTCCTGCATGCCTCGTTCTGCAGATGTTTTACTGAAACAGAAGCACAGGCTAGAGCGTAACCTTTAATGTGTTTCTCTTGTGCTTCTTTGACCATGATGATTTGATTTGTTGCATCTAGTAACTCATGTCCCCAGTTAACGATTCCCTCAGTTTTGTCTGTTTTTCTCCATATGAACTTCAAGTTTGGATCAAGGCTGCCTGTTTTCACCAGT